AAACCTGTGATGCTACACACAGCAGTGGGTGTGTTTTGTAGGAAGAAAGCACTGACAGACTAATGTACATGGTAGCCAGCTTCTGATACTGCTTTTTGGGTTCAATGTGTTTTGTAGGAAGAAAGTACTGACAGACTAATGTACATGATGGTACCCAGCTTCTGATACTGCTTTTTGGGTTCATGCCATCAATATATTAATTAACTCTGGTACCGCAGAGCAAAACGTGTTCCTTTGAACCTCTTTTAAGGTTTGCACTTCAAGAAGAGAACAAATTTCAGGAATATCCCTTGTTTTCCACTAAGTATACTGTTTTTAGACACTCTTTAGGAAATAGTTGGTTTTTTTTTTTCAATTTAACAGTCCATAGTTCATAAAAAATGAATAATTGCTTAGTCATATTACAGAACCCAATATTACCTTCGTACAAGGGTTTGTACTTTGATGTGATTATGACTGCATAAGCACACAGAGTAGTTAGCAACAGAACAGTGAGTTTTTTTAACTCATTAAAACAGGGATACATGAGATAAAGTAGCATCTGTTTATATTGGCTAGCACGTGCATCCAAGGATACATGGGATAAAGTAGCATCTGATTGTTTATATTGGCTAGCACGTGCATCCAGAGTTAATGGCAGGAAAGCAAGACCTGCAACTTTGCGCTGAAAAGCGTTAATTCTTTGGCTCAGCCTTTGAGCAAGGATGTCCCCTCCTCCTCCCCCACCCTCCTGCCCCCTTTTTAGCCATAACATTTGTTTGTGAACAGAAAGAATCTCAGACAAACTAGCTGAATTTCCTACTGACTGCTGTCCAGCACAGTAACACGGGGAAGCTCACATTCCAGCCTGCTACCAAGCACACATACATCCTAGGTGAGAAGCTGCTGCAGCCAGGGAAATTCATCTTTTAAGAAGAGTTTGAATGAAAACAATCACTCTCTGAAGAAAATTGCTTGCCAGAAAACTTACATCCCATGTTATGACCAGTTCAGACCTGCTGCCTCCTCCCCCACTGACTTCAGATGGGGGAATTTCAGGAACTGTGGAAAGGAAACGTACAGCTGTCTACACGGAGTAGATACAAGAGACATCACATAATGTTAACCTCCTGCTCTGATGCTAACCCAGATAAATTCATCTTGCTTTTGCAATTCAAGGTGAATGCTTTTGAGGCAGGATGGGCAGGCCTGGAAAGCCCCAGCCCTGTCCTGAACCACCTTGCTGCTTTCCATCACAGCCAGGCTGATGTTTTGAGTGTCTGAAGAACCTTGTGGACTGAACCATGGATGCTCATGCTTATGAACAGCTACAAACTGGAGGCATGCTTCCTGTGTTTAATAGGGTTAAATTATGCAAATAACTTGGACAGTGGCCTCATTCCAAGTGAACTCTTGGGGTTTTAATTGATGGGTTGTTCTGAGCCGCATGCATGTTACATGGAAAGCATACACTGATCAAATACTTGGAATGAGAAACCCCTGTCAAAAATTAACCTCTTTCCATCCATGAATATCTTCAGACTCTGCAGCACTGCCTGAATTGACAGCCTTTGGCATACTTAATACAGTTTAAATGTATTTAGATGTTATGCTGCTGTGATGTTCAGTAATGCAACACAAACCCTCCCACAGCTAAATGGACAAATCATGAACAAACCAGTTACTGGCTTTTGTACTCAATACCAAGCTTGTTGGCAAAAAGCCAAGGATATGAATGCTTCTTTTTATTTTATAAATATTCAAAATTCTTGAATTAAAAACAAGTAGAAGAACCCACTAACCTGCCTCTTCAGTTCTTACTTTTTCTGAGGGTAAACTAGGTTCTCCACCTCCTATTTTGTTACTGGCAACTACACGAAACTCATATTCAACCCAAGGATTTAAATCCACCACTGTGGTTGTGAATGTTTTTCCGTCGATCACGTCTGGAACTGTAAAAAAACAAAGAAAAAGGGAACTAAGAACGTGGTGTCCCTGGCCAACAACATTTCCACAGAGCTTGTAATGAGGATTGTGTTTTACCTGTTGTCACCCGCTGCCAGCCAACTGAAAAGGGTGTCCTTGCTTGTATGGTGTAGGTGGTTACTGGGCTGTGATTGTCTGTGCCTTCTTGCCAGGAGATCTGAGCCGTGGTATCAGTTATTTCATCCACTTTCACGTGTTCAGGGGGCCCAGGTGAGCCTAGAATCAGATGGAAAAATACGTGGTGCTTTGTAAAGCCAGCACCCTGGAGATCACTAACACAGCAGTATGGATTCCCCTTTTATCAGTGCTGTGGGTGGAAGAAAACAATTCAACTTGGGATAAGAACACTTGTAATTATTGTGCTACATTCGCTAAACTTAACTCTGCTAATCTAATTCTGAAATGCTCTGAACTGCAGCACAGATAACAGGGGTTTGGTTTTCTTTCAAGAACCTTTGTTCAGCTTGATTTCTCTATCTTCCCAATGTCTTTTACTTTAGTCCTCAATGTCCTCTTTTAATCTACTAATACATCTCTGTAGTCTGCCAATTTGTTAGCTACAGCTGTTTTACTGTACAATGCACCGTAGTGATTTTTCAGCACAACATCTGATCAGCACCCTGAGCAGCAATTCTGTCAGGCAAGCTTTCTGCTGCCTTCTGGAAAAATCCTGATTCTGGGCATCCTGGAAAAAAAATGCTGGGCTCTGTCTCATCTGCACCAGCAGAGAGGGCTGAAATAACTAACCCTATGTCAACAATTAGAAAATATCTGTCATATTTTAAAATATATTGAGTGTTGATCACATAATGTGCTTTACCAGATCAAAGCTTTACTCTTACAATAAATGTGGCTGTATCATCAGCAAAGAAAGCTACACTTCTGAATTGACTGTGAGCATTCCAGCTCTGAATGGAACAGAATAAGGCTGCATTACATGCTTCAAATTCAAGTGTGCCTCCAAGAGAAACCCTCTCCCAGGCTCTGGCAGTGGTTGCCCATTTCACAGAAAGGATTCTGGAGTCACCAACCCCAACTGTTCAGTTTGTATAGACAGCAACTCATGACCTGCTCACAGCTGCCAGTACTGAGTACCCTCTTGTCAAGTGACTTGAAGGACTGTCAGTGAGAAAAGATGTGAAGTTGTTATTATATCCTCCAGCTCTTCACTTCTCTTAGAAAAATCAGGCTTCATCCAAAAGTTGAGCTAAAATTCTCCCTAACTGCAAGGCAGAGTGGCATAACTGGAGTCGCAGTCATTCATCACATAATTCAAGCCATGAATTAGTTTTGTAATCCATGACATCAGTTGTTTCTGTAATCTACAATGTAAAGAAGTTAGAAAATATGATTCGTGGTGGCTGGAGCTGGAATGTACCTCGTACGATGAGATCTGCTGCAGAGGCTACACTGTCCACTTCTGTCTTCACCATGCAAACATACTTCCCACTATGTTTCAGCTGGATGTTTCTAATCATTAAATCTCCTGATGCACTCTGTTGAAATACAAAGTTCTTATTATTAACCTAAATATACTGGCTTGTAATTTCACATTCAGATCGCATTTGTAAATGGAAATCAGCCAAAAAAAAAAATGTTCAAGATAAAGTTGTTCAAGAATTGCATTGGCAGCCTGCAGGATAGCAAGTTATTACCCATCAGTTGCTATAATTGTCTGTAAGCATTTTCCTAATAAACATGAGGCAGTGCCCCACTTTGAGAGAAGTAAGCTACAGCATGGTCAGCTCGCAGTGGGAACGTCCCTCCTGCCTGCTGTTAGGAACCATGAACAAAGTCAGTGCCCTGTGACCAACCATTTGTCTCAAAGCCATAAGAAAGAGAAAAATGTGGTTTCTACAGCCATTCATCAATTTGACTTCTAGACAGAATTTATAAGTCTAGTTAGCCAAGATTTTAAGGGGCTCAAAAGTGTAAACAACAAAGCTGAACTGGGTCCATTGCGAGCACGCTTTCATTCCAAGGTTGTACATTTTGGATTCAGTTCCTGAGTTTATAAGTTTATTCTTTATTCCTCATGGTGTATTTAACCTTTGGTCATTTTTTCTCTGTTGGTCTCTCTCACATCATTCCACATGGCTGAGCTCCTGAATCAAGGGAAGCATACATAAAACTTGAGTAGTAACTATAGCTTCTTATCCCACTACAGCTCTGCATCTACTCTCTGTTTGCTGAATTAATGAGTAGAGAACTTGACACTAAACCTTTAGTAGCCAGTCTCACTTCAAAGAAACCTCTTTGTGTCAGCTGAGTTACTGCTTTGACTCAATTCATGTTGTATTTTCCAGTAGTATTTTCTGCTCTGGCCACGTGACTGATTCTTGGGCGCACAGCAGTTTGGGAGAAAGGGGAAGACACAACTCTGGTTTATTTTAGTCTTGGAAAAAGAATTATCAACCTTTCCAACCATTTGTTTATTTTCCTTTGCTTCATGCTCCCACCCATTATTTCAGCATTACCAAGTCTCACTTTCTTGTTCAACACAAGCTGAAAACATCAACAGCAATGTAGACTCACAAGCGAATCATGCTCTACACACTTTAAATTTAAAACTAAATTTAAAACATCTTGACAAAGGGGACTGTCAAAGAGAGAAACTTTTACTTGAAATAAACCCTACCAAAATATTAACACTGTGTTTAAATTCTTTGTGGATATTTTGAGGAAGGATCCCAAAGCCACGGGGAGTCGAAGGCACCCTCACTTCCCATGGCTCTGCAGACCATGGGTGGTAATCACAGCCTTGCCCAGCCAGATTAAATCCCTGTCAGTGTGGACACGGCCAGGTCAGAGCCCCTTCCTTTCTCCATGCTACACCAACTCCATGTCTGTGACATGAATACATGAGCAGCTGCTGAAATTGCTTTTGCTTCTCCTCCCTGCGTGACAACCTCGGCCGCTGCTGGGCTCTAAGAGCAGGTGAGACCCGAAAGAGCTCAGAGGCAATCTGCTCAGAATTTTGGCATCTGCTTGGTTTGCCATAGTACACATCATCTCACACAAAAAAGAGCAGTAAGACAGTGTTGTGTCCTGTATTTTTCTAACCATCTGGAAGACCAGGTGGTGGTCCTGTAACATTCCCACTAACTACTACACATTGGAGACCTCAGCCATGCGTGACAGCGACTTCCAAGACATCATCACATAGAAATCTATCCATGGAAAAGTTCTTTTCCTCTTGCCAGCTTTACGACCACGAAAGCTGAAGTTATTTTTGCACAGGTATTTTCATTTCACAACTACACACTGCAAGTAGTGGAAGGCTTAGAACATAGTTGTGTTTGTCTATTTACTTACTATGAGCCACATGTAACTCTAGATGAGATTATTCCACTGAGCTTCGTGGGATACAAAGCCCAAAAAATGTTTTAATGGATCTCTCAGTAAACTATGAAGTTTTCCACTAATGAAATTCAATCCCTCTTTACACATATAAAAGTTAAAAAACCCCCCTAAATATCTATATTCCATAGAAACCCTAATTCTGTTCGTCGTGACAAATTTCCAATCAAAATGTTCTAGATTCAAACTTCTGAGATGCTCACTCTGGAGTTTTCTTCAGCACTGACAGAATGTTTTTGTGAAAAACTACTTTTTTATATTTTTTTTCCTTATATGAAAAAAAATTAGACACCTAAACAAGGCTTTGCCTTGGAATTACACCTGTGTTTGCTTCAGGAAAAAGCTGGAATTGTTAGTGAGGAGAAATATTGCATTTTCCAATCAGTTTATGAAGCCTTAATTGAGCCAACTGTCAGGTTCAGGTTTTGGTATGGTTTTAGCCTTTCCTTTCTAATATTACTATTTGTATCTATAACCAGAGTACAGCTGGGGGAAAATATTCCTAAATAAATAAAGTCCATGTAGCAATACTGGAAGGTAACGGGCTATGAAATCAGAGCACTCCCATTACAGCATGACAGATGGTCAGTTTGTAATTCTCAAAACATTTCTGTGCAAATGTACATGATCTATGAATATCTCATGGCTCCTACAAGGAAATCTCATCATCTCCACATGCACTTCTATTGAAGCAACTGCAAACTGCAGAACGACGTGTGTGTTTGGTGCCTACTGATTAAATGCTAAATCTTTTGAGCTTTTACAGGCACAAAGATAAAAACCAGGTGCTGAAGTTCCACAGTTTCACAGGCATTAGTGTCTAACCCATAGCTATTGTGTCAGAACAGAAGATCTGGCAAGAATATGTGAAAGGAAACTTTATGAAGGCTTCTAATGACCAGTTTCACGCCGAATGCTCAGCTGCTTGTTTTGTTACCACTTGGCCATGGCTTGCACTCCAATAAGCCCCTTTTTGGTAATTGATTTCAATCTCTTGAGACATCCTTCATCTGTCTCAATGCTTTACTTCTCATCTTTTGATGAGGAGGCTAAATTCTAAACCACAATGTCACTGGCATGTCCCCCACTCCCAGCAGCATCCCTGCATCCTGCATAGGAAATATTTAATGAGATAGATAGATAGATAGATAGACAGACAGACAGACAAGACAGACAGACAGACAGATAGATGACAGATAGATAGATAGATAGATAGATAGATAGATAGATAGATAGATAGATAGATAGATAGATAGATAGATAGATAGATAGATAGATAGATAGATAGATAGATAGATAGATAGATAGATAGATAGATAGATAGATAGATAGATAGATAGATAGATAGATAGATAGATAGATAGATAGATAGATAGATAGATAGATAGATAGATAGATAGATAGATAGATAGATAGATAGATAGATAGATAGATAGATAGATAGATAGATAGATAGATAGATAGATAGATAGATAGATAGATAGATAGATAGATAGATAGATAGATAGATAGATAGATAGATAGATAGATAGATAGATAGATAGATAGATAGATAGATAGATAGATAGATAGATAGATAGATAGATAGATAGATAGATAGATAGATAGATAGATAGATAGATAGATAGATAGATAGATAGATAGATAGATAGATAGATAGATAGATAGATAGATAGATAGATAGATAGATAGATAGATAGATAGATAGATAGATAGATAGATAGATAGATAGATAGATAGATAGATAGATAGATAGATAGATAGATAGATAGATAGATAGATAGATAGATAGATAGATAGATAGATAGATAGATAGATAGATAGATAGATAGATAGATAGATAGATAGATAGATAGATAGATAGATAGATAGATAGATAGATAGATAGATAGATAGATAGATAGATAGATAGATAGATAGATAGATAGATAGATAGATAGATAGATAGATAGATAGATAGATAGATAGATAGATAGATAGATAGATAGATAGCTTCTCACCCAGGGAAGCTCGGTCAGATTGTTGAGGGATACACTAGGGATGCAAGTGCAGGAAAAATAAGGAAGGATGGGATGCCTTTGTTCAGCTTTAGAATGAAGTTCACAAAGTCTGTGCCAAGTTCCTCAAGTTGTGTTTCATGTGATCTTGAGGAAAATCACGTGAGGCCAGATGCAGATAGAGAAGCAGACACTTGCAGTGCTTCAGGTCTAAAATAGAAGGTGCCCTGTGCAGTGGGGTGATGTGCAGCAAACCAGCTCAATGAACCATTTCCCTCCAACACAGGAGAAAATTGTACATGCTTACAAGAGAAGAAACATCCTAATTTCAACCATGTTGAAAAAAAGAAAAAAAATCAAGCCCATCTATGCTTCATAAAGCAAGTGAAGAAAAAGTGTTTGCAACTTACCCCTCCAACCTTCTCAAAATGAGAAGCATCTTTCTTGAAATCAGTGAGTGTTCCATTGAAATACCAGGTGAAGCTGATGTCCAGGATAGGGTCATGCTGAACCTGGCAGGGCAGGACAACACTTTCTCCAACAGTGACATCCATGTTGGAAGGTGCCAGAGTAATCCTCGTTGGCTCTGGGGAGGGCAGAAATATCAGTTATTGGATTGCTGCACTGCTGAGCTTTGCTTGCTCCTAATATTCTACCACCTTCTTCAAATCTGATTAATGACTGTCACTTCAAATTATGCAGGTGGACTGTAACTGCTGCTGCCTGACCCCTCTTGATGGAGCATTGTGTCCTTGCACATCTTCCAGTGGGAGCTCCTTGACACTGAAAAGGTAAATTTTAACCTGCTGCCTATGGGCCAATAGACTTTCCAAAACAAAATGCCCTGCAATCCACAGCAAGGAAAGGACCATTCAAAAGCATGTGTGGTTCTCAGCAATAACACAGGTTTTGGAGCAGGATGCTGTAGTGGCAGTCACTGGGAAGATTATGAGGTGGGAGTTGACAAAAGGAGGTAATAAAATCTAGGAGCTGGAGGAAATCCACACGGGGTAAAATGCACTGGATATTTGGGTCCATATATCATATAGAACATTAGTGTCATTAAAAGCATCTGGTGGTTCTTCTTGAATCCCATTAATGGAGAAAATTTTCAAGTATGGTAAATACTGAAAAAAAATAAAATTTAAATCTAGAAATCCTTTGTCTATAATACTATTATTTAAATATAAAGCAACATGAATCATTCAGGAGCACAGCTTGAAAATATGAAGCTGTTAATTCACGGGACAACATAATTCAGTTTGGATCTATGAGATATATTGGATATGAAATGCAGTAGGACGTTAGATAATTCTGAGTCTGAAAACCTTTCAGACATTCCAATCTTTAAAAAAGAAGGTAATGAGAAAAGACATTCTTCAGATAAACTTCACAGACTACTGGTCCCTTCTATCTAGTATCTGAGACCTCAGCTAGTAATGGATGACTTAGAGAAAGAGGCAAGAACCCTTCTAGCAACAAAAAGGCTCAAACTGGAACCCAGGAGGGTCCAACTAAACATGAGGAAAAACTTCTTTGGTGTGAGGGTGGCCGAGCCTGGAGCAGGCTGCCCAGAGAGGCTGGGGGATCTCCTTCTCTGGAGAAATTCCAAACCTGCCTGGATGTGGTCCTGGGCACCCTGCTGTGGGTGAGCTGCTGGAGCAGAACTTAAAAGCACTATTTAGCATTTCCATAAGTGAGAGAAGGGAGGAAGGTGTTCAGAACTCCCTCACATCTGAGAAATGTCTTTGTCAAAGCCAGAAAATCCCTCAGTCTCTTTCTTCTCAACTAATAAAGGCTCTGTAGCCAATATCCTTTTATCTTTATACACTGTTAAATATGAACCTTCTCACACTCTTTACCTTCCACCACATCTGGTATTTTTTCACTAAGCAGACTCAGACTCCACAACATTGCAGACTTCTGTGCAGCACACACCTCAGTTGACATCTCCTCACAGATGACCTTCCATCCCAGCACACCTACCTGTAACTATTAAGGTGGTTGAGCCACTGGCTGTTCCAAACTGGTTTGTTGCCAGGCACATGTAGCTTCCAGAATCAACTTTGGTCACATTGGCTATTCTTAGCCCTCCATCCTTTAGTAACGTGATTCTAAAAAATTATCAAGATATTTTAAAAGCTGCAGCATTGGTTTGGAGACAAAAAGCTTTAATACTTATCCTGTTAGCTTAGATATATCAAACTGCATCAACTACCAGCCTGATGTTTGAAGATTGTGTGAAGATACACTGACAATATACAACAAATCTGAACCCATCCATATTTTACTTACCATTTTGGACACCAGTAGAATCAATATTTAAGATATGTGTGAGTGCATATGCATGTTCATATGGGTGTGTGAGAAAGAAATCCCACATGAATTCCACCTTTTTCAGCTGCACCTACTGAAACTAGAATGAATTTTATAAAATCATAGAATGGTTTGGGTTGGAAGAGACCTTTAAAGGTCATTTTCAACTGTATTATGTTGTTTACCTCATGCAGTCTCATATGCTGACTTTGAAACTACTGCATGTCACTATTATGGTGATGTAGAAGAAGAAGCAGCAGAAGAGCACCAGCACCCCATCAGTGGAGCTGACATCCTAGACAACAGCACTGGAGGGATCTAAAATATGATTAATTTGATTCCTTCTTACCCTCATCCTCCTGCCTGTCATACCCTTAGAAGCAGAGCCTCCTACCAAGTCTTCCCTAAGATAACTCAGAGCAGCTATGTAACTGTATATAAAAATGTCCTGAATAATTAACAAAAAAGTATCTTGCTGATGAACCCAAGTCAAAAGAGCTTCAGAGCTTTGCTCTCAGATCCCATCCATCCATTCTGAAGGCACCAAGTGAATCACAGCAAGGCCATTCTGTGGGTTCTCCAAGCACCTTAGCTATCAGGTATTTTGGAAATGCCCCAAACACCCACATCTAGCTACAGAGAATCAACAGCAGAGCAAACAACATGAACACTCCAGGCAGACCTCTAACAATGTTAGTTGAAGTCTTACACAGTTCTCAGAGTACCAGCTGAGAAGGCAGAAAATGTCCTGAAACTCGACATTGAAACTTCCCCTGCTCAGAAGAGATTTTGCCTCCTCACTTGCATGCACTTTGTCATCAACCTACTTCTTTGTTCAGTACAAAACTATGAAATACTCACCCCTTCTGCTCTTGTTAACATACTTGAGGCATACTTGAAGATCATCAAGTCCAACCACTAACCTAACACTACTAAGTCCACCACTAAACCATGTCCCTGTGCACCTCATCCACACATCTTCTACACACCTCCAGGGATGGTGACTCCACCCCCTCCCTGAGCAGCCTGTTCCAATGCTTGATAAACCTTTCAGTGAAGAAATTTTTCCTAAGAGAAATTTTTCTCAATGTCCAACCTAAATCTCCACTGATACAACCTGAGGCTGTTTTGTCTTGTCCTATCCCTTGTTCCTTGGGAGAAGAGACTGACCTCCACCTTGCTACAGCCTCTTTTCAGTAGTTGTGCAGGGTGATAAGGTCTCCCCCCTCAGCCTCCTTCTCCTCAGACTAAACAACCTCAGTCCCCTCAGCCTCTCCTCATAAGACTTGTTCTCCAGGCCCTTCACCAGCTTTGTGGCCCTTCTTTGGACATGTTCCAGAACCAAAATGTCCTTCTGGTCATGAGATGCCCAAAACCAAACACAGTACTTGAGGTGTTGCCTCACTACAGCAGAGTACAGGGGCATAACCAGTTCCCTGCTCCTGCTGGCCACACTATTTCTACCCAAGCCAGGATGCTGGTGGCCTTTTTGGCCACCTGGGCACACTGCTGGCTCATGTTCAGGCAGCTGTCAATCAATACCCCCAGGTCCTTCTCTGTCAGGCAGCTTTCCAGCCACTCCTCCCCAAGCCTGTAGGTTGTTGTGACCCAAGTGGAGGACCTGACACTTGGCCTTATTGAACCTCACACCATTAGCCTCAGCCCATTGCTCCAGCCTGTCCAGATCCCTCTGCAGAGCCTTCCTACCCTCATCTACACTTCTGCTCAGCTTCGTATCGTCCACAAACTTCCTGAGGGTGCACTCCAGCTCCTCATCCAGATCACTGATAAAGACATGAAGCAGGACAGGTCCCAGTGCTGGCCCCTCTGGAACACCACTTGTGACCTACTCCAACCACCATCAGCCTTTGGGCCTGGCCACCCAGACAGTTTTCTACCCAGAGAAGAGTACACCCACACAAACCACCAGCAGCCAGTTTCTCCAGGAGGATGCTGTGGGAGCCAGTGTCAAAGGCTTTACTAAAGCCCAGGTAGATGGGTAACATCCACAGCCTCTCCCTCATCAACCAAGTTGAGTCACCTTGTCACAGAAGAAGATAGCTTAGATGTAGTTCTCATTACAAAAAGTAGATGGAGAAGTCTGTAGTGTTAGGTGGGAATTAGGAGCACTTCCTTTCTTCTCAAACCTTGTCCCAGGCATGATGCTCACTCTGGAACACGTGCCTCTCTCTCTTCTGGCACTCACACACTGCACCTCACAGCTCAGCATGAGCAATTCTCTGTGAAACCCTGCACGATGGAGGATGCTGCAAGCTTGAAACCACCTCACTGGGTGCAGGGCACATCTGGACAGATGTTTAGGACACAGCCAAGACCCACCTTCGATTTAATCGCATTGCCAAAATAAAAGTTGTCCTATAAATGATATAAGCTTCACTAGGCTGCACTGTCATCAATTTTTTATGTTGATTTATATTATAAATAATACAGTGTTTCAATGGGGTCCTTCTTGTGTGTGTGGAGTAGGTTTTGGTTTGGTCATTTTTAAGCCCTGTGCCTGAATCCATGATTTCAGAGAACAAATGAGCTGGTAAATAAAGGCAGCAGAATGTGACTCTGGAGTCTGATGGGTTCAGTGATCTTATCCTTCACCTTTAACTCCTCTGATCCCCCCAAACCACGTTCACAAACAGCAGACCATGGTGTGGGGGGGTCTGCCAGGGCTCTGAAGTTATGCTGCTCCTTTCCCTTAACACCAAGTTCACCTCATCCTCCAGGCCACACAGAGAGTGCATCTTCAACACCTAAAACCAGGAGTCTGGGTTCCTTCCCCAGCTCCACTGATGTCACACAGCTCTTTACAATGAAACACATCCCAGAAATAAGCACCTCTTTTAATTGTTTCCCTTAATCAGTCTGAATTTGGGATTTTCTTAAAAAAAGGTATTGCAGCATCTCTTTTGGGCAAAGGTGAAGGAAATAATGAAATTAAGAGATGCAAATTGTAAGTGATAACAAATCACCTCGTTAGAATGACAGACAGAAGAGTCTTACATGGGGGAGGAGGGGTATAAATAGAGAGTTTAATCAGTTTACATCTGGAGATAACCACTTTTCAGTCTTCCAAACTGTACTGAGCTCCCTGAGCCAATGGCAGATTTTTAAGGAGGGTGTTTCATCAGTGTCAGCACCTCCCTGAGGCTTATTAACTTCTTTTGTAAAATTCCCAAGTAATATCTGGCTGCACTTTAAATTAGATGGAGCATTTATAATTAATGAAATCTTACAATGGAGTTTATAGGTATTTTAAAGGTGTTAAAGATGTGATTAATGCATTTTATAGGTAATTATAACGACATCAGTAAAAGGTGTTCAAATACATCAATTATGGTTGCATTCAAGTCGTCTGCAATTTGAGTTGCTGGAATTTTTGGCTGTGTGTTTTGCAAAGACTTGTCTTGCAGCTTCTACTTTGAAGCAGTTTTCAGTAGAAAAAAAAAGCCAAACTAAATAAAATCTCAGTGTTGACAAAGCCTGAGATGAAACAAAGGAAAAAACCAGGATTGGGGTTTAGACCAGAAAATGTCTCTTGTTTAATTAAAATGAATCTCATTTATAATGCTCTGAGCTATCTGCAAGTCTAGCTTGCCTAAAATAATTAAGCAACAGGCTTATTAAAACCAAGATATAATTAAGACTCAAGCTTTTTTTTTTTTCCCCAGAATAAAACAAAAAAAAGCAAACCAACAAATCACTTCTAGAAAAAAAAATTATTATCCAAATAAAATCTTTACTGATAAATGAAAAAAAAGAAACTCTACTTTTTCAGTTACAAACCAGTAAATGCAGCACAGCCTATGAAAATTCTAAATCCCCAAACCAGCTCTACCCCTGAACATCAGACAAACCAGAGCTTTTCATATACTTAATGTTATTAGATAGTCACACAGAGTGAAAAACCAAATGTAGTGTGGATGGCCTGCTGCCAGCAACCAATCTGGATCTCTAGCACAAAAAAAACACCACGTCCTTTGGCTCTCCCTGTACCTACAAGTGTTTTTCCAATAGGTTTTGCTGAAGGCCAGCAATTTTCAAACTGAATTCCATTTTCCACAACCTGCACACTTTTGATGTACTGGCAAAACTTTCAGCCCTGTAAAATAGAGATAATTGGTGGAATAGTGCTTGGGCACATCTGGTCATCAGAGCAAAATACTGTTGACAACAATAAGATCATCATCTCCTCCTAACTCTTGAGCAATACTGTAGGAAATTAGTCTTTGAGAAGGTTCTTTTTTCCAATAGCCAAAGGAATGGCATAAAAAAATGCCTAGAGCAGCCAAATGTCTTAACTCATGGCCATGCTTTTAGACTCTTTGATTGAGGTCAGCAGAACTGGGAGAGGGATTAAGCAACTTCAGGACTTCAGGGTTCCTCATTTGAGGGGTCTATGTTGGTAGAACTATGAGATTCTTCCCATCCCCCCCAAACTAAGGGCATGTATTTGGCATTGGAGACCTCCCAGAGAGCTGAGGAGCTTTCACAGGCCCCCATATCCACATGACCAAGGGCCAGAATATGCCTCAGGATCCAAGACCACGAGGCTGCCACCTGAAACTAGGTGTCATTAATGACTGTTAATGAATGTAAATTTGTTCATCTTCCTGCTTTATTACTAAAACAACAGACATAATGAAATTAAATAATCATCATCTTTCTATTTATCAGAACATCCAGAAGAAATGCCAACTATATTATTTCCTTATTGATATGATAACAAACATATTGCTTTCCAATTCACAACATACCAGTACAAAGGAACTGTGGAAAAGTGGGTCAAAAGTGCCTTTTTATATATCAATCAAATTCCTAGTAAATTAAACCAGATTAATTAACAAGAAAGTCAGCACAAAGAAAAGCTCCTATTGAAGTACTGGTATGTAAATGCTTTAGTTTCCATATCACAGCATTTTAAACTGTTATGCAAAAATGGAATAAATATCATTAATTCAAACTAGAGGGGAGACAAAACCAGGAACTGATACTTCTAAGAATCAGGCAATATTTTGTAAGGAATTATTTCTTCTCTTTTCTTTCCCCCTTCATTTGACATCACTTTGCCACAGTTAAAGATGCTGAAAGGTGAGATTTTGAAGATAATTGCACTGGAGTGTCTTTGAGTGAAGTTAAAGTTTGCAGCATCTTTTTGTCTTTTTCTAGTCTTGGTAAATCTAGAAACATCTAGGAATAATGGTGGATTTGTTTAGAGGTGAAATGCTGCTGCCTGTGATCTCAAACCCCTTGTATTGGTCTATTTTCTTGTTAATTCTGGATTATGAAGCTCATTAAATCACCAAAAATTATTTATTTCACAGGTCCAAAACTGCATTCTGGTGGGAAGCACATCTTCCATTAATATCCAATTGATTTAATTCCCATTTTCTGTCTCTCTTTCTGCATTTTCTACAGTGTCCCCTACGCTTTTCACTTCTCTCTGTATTCCACTGCTCTTTACTATCTCTCTCTCTTGATTCAAGGTATCCTAAAAGATTAAAAAACCCCTACATATTTTACAAAACTAACAGGCAGCAAGAGTACCTTCTCCAGCACTGAGCTATTTCTCAGTCCAGAGCTCAGGAATCCACTGTGAATTATATTTTTGTCCCACCACAAGACATGTCATATACAGCTCATTTAATTAAAATTTATAGAGTCATTATCCAAATCTTCTACATACTGAAAACACAGCACCCTTTAAAAATAAATTAACATAAGTAACAGTGTCATCAAAATGAAAATCTTTCAGGCTTTCCTGAAGTAACGTGGTCACTTCCTCCAGCAAAATGTAAATCCCCTTAGGAAAAAATAGGAATACATTGAAATAATGGAGTATTTATGCTTCATTTTTATTATTCAAACAGGAATTTTCTTCAAACATAACGACTTGATCCATGTTGCTCCATCTCATGGGACATTTTCACCTTTACAGTTGACAGAAAGGACTAGTTCCACCCTCATGCTAAGCCATGTTTGGCCTCTAAGCCTTACAGAAGCATTCCCAGTTGAGGTATAGTCCAAAGTAGCATGGTCTAACCATGGCACTCACACTAGAGGGCTGGTGGAGTGTGTTGGCACAGCCTCAGAAGAGGACATGCTCCACCATTTGTCTATGTTTACATGGAAAAGAAAACATCACACTGTCCTTGTTCTCTACCAATGCTGAGGAACTCCACTGTACCACACAAAAAATCAACAGGAATATGGTTTTAGCTACTTCAGGGCAAACAGATTTGGGAAACTATACATGTATTTATCCATGTGGGATATAGTGGCCAGCAGGTTGAGGGAGGAGATTCTGCCCCTCTGCTCTGCTCTGGTGAGACCCCACCTGCAGTGCTGGGTCCACCTCTGGAGTCCTCAGAACAAGAAGGACATGGACCTGTTTGAGGAGGTCCACGTGAGGCCACAAAAATGACCCAAAGGCTGGAACCCTTCTGCTGTGAGGCCAGGCTGAGAGAGCTGGGGTTGTCCAGCCTGGAAAAGAGAAGGCTCTGGGGAGACCTCATTTTGGCCTTTCAGTACTTAAAGGGGCCCTCAAAGAAAGATGGGGACAATCTTTTCAGCAGGGCTTGTTGCAACAGGACAAGGGGTGAGGTTTTTAATCCAGGTCAGGTTGGATGGGGCTCTGAGCAACCTGCTCTAGCTGCAGATGTCCCTGCTCACTGCAGGGGGGTTGGAACTAGATGACCTTTAAAGGCCCCTTCCAACCCAAACCATTCTGTGATTCTATGGTAGTGCAAGAGCTGTTCCCTTGCAGGAACTGACCTATGGAGACAAAATAACTTGCTCCACTCCTTGAAGACTCCAATTTCCCTCATGCTCTTTATAACCAAACGGCAACTATAAGGGAGGGGAGTCAACCCCACACTCAATCTCTGCCTGTCTCTCCTAAGGAGCACTCTGTGAGCCTGAACCCTACTGTAGTCTGAGCTCCACATGTAATTAAGCCCATTCTGTCACCCCTACCACTCCTAGGTACAGAGCATGCTGGGCCCCTGTGGCCAGCATCACCCCTTTTGGGAACTCAGTTCCTCTACAATTAAAAAAAGACACCTTCCCCAAGAGAGTTCTCCATTAAGATGTGTAGCTAATGGCTGAAAAATGTCCTGCTAATTGGAAACACTTTCCTGCACTGCAAGAATTGTAGAACTGCAAGAAATTCATGAATTGCAATTATTCATAGCAGCTGGTAATGAACTCCAGTGCTTTCTGCAAAGAAGCACATTTCTGCTTTCCTCTGAAGGCGAGTGTACTTCATTTAGATTAATTCAGGATTATTGGCTTGTTATTATGTTTCCTCTGTAATCCATTTACAAGGTGCTGTCAGAAATACAGTAGGAGACACTTTGGGCCGTATTTTGGAAATACCTGGACTTTGCAGAACTAAAAGCCATAATTTATGTTCATAAATCTAAGTAGGCAGCATTATGCATGCTCAATACATATTCAGAAGCTGAACATTACTTTCTTTAGCCTGGTGCCAATGAAACTGGTGGGTACTGCTTCTGAAGGGTGACCCAAAGCAACCACTAAGGCCAGATCTCATGCCCATCCAGGTAGAAAGCTTGCAAAGCAAGACACAAGTTGGGGCTGAAACACTCTTCTTCTGGACACATGTGGAGTCCTGCAAGGTCTAGGCATGCCTGGCACCTCTGACTATCATGAATGGAACCTACAAAGCTCAGCTGATAGGCAGCTCCAACAAGACACAGGCAGGGATGGGAACAAAACCTAGAAATCCTCCTAAATGGAGAAAATCAGGTGATTTCACATAGAAAGAAAAACCAACTAGTGATAATTTCAATGGCATTTTGCTTGCTTGCTCTCCTGGAGCTGTGCAGACACCTTGGGAGTCTGGGGTATTGTGTCAAGCTCAACTATGGTAGATGTCTGATCTTCTGCCAAATTGCCACATTTGACAATGCTTAACACTTGGAACACATGAAAACTATTGTGGTCCCTGTGAAGAAAGAGCCAGAGCTGCACAGAATAAGGTGACAGCAAGTGTCCAAACCTTTTGGCACAAGGAGAGAGCTCTAGGCTTACAGTGGAACAAATAATAGTCTCAGCTGCAGCTTCTAGAAGTTTTGACTTCTCTGGCAGCACCATCCGCATCTAGAATTTCCAAAACAAATCCAGGACATGGGATTTTTACAGTAATAGGACTAGAAGAATTTGACCTGGTTCAGAACTAGCTGCCTGATGATAGGCTAAGCTTTGTAAAACCCAACACAGAGACCCAGAGGAGCAGGGGTACAGTCACAAAATCACAACCTAGCAATCCTCCGTCAAAACCAAAATGTTCAGTTTCCTCAGTCTCAAGTCTGCACTTTTGGATGTTGCAAGAAGAACACTCCCAGTCACCACATCTCCACAGCTCCCTGGCAAACCTTTTGGCTTTTTGTGGCTGGTGGTGTGGCTACAGTCTGTATCTAAGCCAGCCACTCCAGCAACCAGCTGCAGCAAAGCTGACCTCAGGGTAGACTGAACTCCCAAAGAGTTATTCTGCTCCTCTGAATCTTCACAGCCTGTACTGAGTGCTGAAGTGCTGCAGCTGGAATGTCCTAAGTACCCAACTGCCCAGTTTCACACCAAATCAGACATTTATCTACTTTAGAATCATAGAATCATAGAATCATTTAGGTTGGAAGGGACCTCCAAGATCATCAAGTCCAACCATTGAGCCATTAGGGCTCTAAAGTCACTTTAATTATGCCTTTCATCCAAGGAGTGTTTTTTCTGTCCCAGTTCACTACCTGAAGTCTGTGCAACTATTGAAATGTAAACCAGAAAGCTCCAAAAGGCAGTAACCCCTAATGCTGGAGAGATGCAAAGCAAAGGGCTGCCCCAGAGCCCAGGGAGGGACACTTCTGGAGAGCTTCAGACTTGTGCAATTTGAGTTGATGACCAGTGCAATAAAGCTTTAATGGTTATTGCCAGAAAAAAGTGCTACATGTTGTTGGAAGTCAGCAACTAGGGATACAGGTCAATCACAGTCTCTCCACTGAGAATTCCTAACACCAAAAGACATTTGCCATCACATGAACACTAAAGCAATGGTGACATACGTTAGCATTGGTAGATAAAGTTCATGGTTGCTTGAAATGAACCTGAAAGTGTATTTTCCTCTTTTCATCTGCTATTCTGCACCTCCCAATTATTAACTTTATTTCCCCCCTCTCTCTGCCACATAATCACCACGGCTGTAATTTGCTTCATCTGTCCCCTTGCCAGCATTTTCAGAGTATTTTATTGAAGGCTTTTAGTACTGTTTTATAAGCTTTGCCTTTCCATTTTTCTATCAGTACCTGGTTCTCTCCAAATCAGGCCAAACTCTACATTAAATTGAAAATAAAACGTGGCCCTTGACCTTACAGAAAGCAATATGCAGGTACTCTCAGTGTGCAGATACAATTAAAAAAACACCAAGCAAAGCCCTCATCTAGACAGACTTCAGAGAGACTTTACAGCTAATTGGATCTACTGCATAAAAAGACATGAAGTGTTTTGTAAAATTGAAATAAACAAACCAATATAACTTGATACCTTTCGTTTTCGTGTAGCTGCTCACCTCCCTTCTTCCAGGAGCATTTGGCCTTGGGAGAAGCTTTGGGTTTGCACTCAAAATCAACTGTGCTGCCTATCTGAACCTGGATCAGCTTCTTCATGGGATTCTTGGAAAAATCTGGAGCAGAAGCTAAAACAGAAGGGACAGTAACAGTGAAATAAGGCACCTTTATTTATATTAATGATACTACTATTTAGCACTTACACAACACTTCTCAAGATTCCAAATATAGTTAATCACACGAGTTAGTTAATTCAAAGGGAACTTCTGTTGGACAAGAAGGAGAATGTTGGAGATTTCTCCTCCTTACACTGGTACAAAAGGAAAGGTCTCAGTTGTGCAGAGTATGTCACCTAATGGAGCACGCACAGATCACACCAACATCACCTGAGCAGACTGGAGGACTCAAGGAACTGGTGGGCTTCCAGTTTCATGTGAGAATGCATGTCAGATTAGAGATGTTAGATGACACAAAATTACAGCATAGCTCATTCAGCTCACATCCCCAAGACATGTTGCTCCCACAGGCTCAGACTGGACATCAGTCCATGCTGGAGGTAGAAACTGCACAGGCACACGAGTGTGTAAGGCACTCAGAAGCTCAGCGTTCCCCTTGAACAAAGAGTCATCCCTGTTTTAGACCTAAGCACGATCTGTTTGAATGCCTGAGTGCCATCCCCTGGATGAGGGAAGGCTGCACACAAGAGCAGCCTATTGCTTGGAACTGGCAGGGCTCCCCGGGGAGCCCCCGGAC